CACACGCACCAAGCGCAGGGGACCGGCAGGGGCCGGTGCTGGTGATGCCGCCTCCCCGCGCGTCCGGGCAGCGGGCCACGGAGGAGCCTCTCGGGACCAGGCGAACGAGACGATCCAGGGCACGAATGAGGCTGAGGGGGGGAACGCGGGCTGCAGAAGTCGGAAAGCTCAGACTGCACGGCACTGTTGGAAACTACAGGGTTCGTCGAGGGACCCCGAAGCGGTGGACACACACATGCATGTGCATGGGATGCGTGTGAACACTGGCGTGTGTGTGTCAAGGTGAATGTGTGTACACATGGAGTGTGGGCACTCGTGCGCATGTGTGTGGGTGGGTGTGAAGGGGGTGACAGCCCAGGTTCTGAGTGGCAGCCACACTGGAGCACTCATAACAAGACCGCTATAGGACGAACGACAGGAAAGGCTGTCCGGCATCTAAATTACAGCGAAATTACCCAACTTTAAATTCACGCGGGTTCAGGCTACATAAACCCCGTCCTGCATGTGGGCACGGGTCAGCAGTACGCGCTGCAGACGGGGCTACAAAGTGGGGCGCCAAAGGGACTTCACGCCTCTCAGGATTACTGTTGGTGCTTTTTGAAAATGCAGGCACCTGGGTTCCGCTCCACAGTCCTTGCCAGAAGCCCTGGGGCTGGGGTGTCCTAGGAGGGACTGGGTGTCCTAGGAAGGACTGGGTTTCTAGTGAACCCCCAGCCCAGCTTCTGGGCAACACAGCAGCATCTGGTGCGGACACAACGCGAAGGTGGGGACTCCCAGAAGCACATGTCCTATGGCGTCCCTTTCCTTCCTGTGGACAGCAGGAAAGAGAACCACCTGCCCGGCCAGGTCCGCAGGCTGGCGGGTTGGTCTCCGCAGGCCAAGAGGTGGGCGGCCGGGGCCATCGGGCCTCTGGCTTAGCCCCAGACACGTGGAGGACCACGGACCCGCCGGTGTCAGAGCACCCGCTCCAGACCACACACACGGACCCTGCGGTGCGGAACACCCACCGGGGCCACAGCCGCAGACGCGCTCCCCGCCCCCCATCTCTGGGGCTGCACTGCGCCGTCCGGGGCACTGGCGAGACGGCTGTAGGAAAGCACAGCCAGGAGGCGAGGGCGGCGCCTCGTCAGAGCACCCGCCCGAGCGGAGACGCCTCCCCCGATCTGGCCTCCCCCCACTCTCTCCGAGAGATGCCGTCACAGCATCAAGGACGTATTTTACAAGATGGCAATTCAGCAGCTACAGTGAGAGGGTGTCGATTCCCAGTTCTAGAAAGCACTTTTGCTTTCCTATGTCCAAATACTTTTGAAGACGTTCTGCTTTTCTGGGCTAAGGGCTGGTACGGCAGCAGAAAAGACAGGAATCGAATCGAGGCCCCGGACGTCCATCCTGGTCCCTGTCCACCTGCATCGGTGCAGCACGCCCAGAGAGGCCCGAGCTGGCCAGGCTCGTCCCCGCGGGGCCGACACAGGCTGGGTGCTCGCCCCACAGCCTGCTCCCAGCTGCTCCTCACTCCCCCTCCAAAGCCGTCTGTCCGGAAGTTAAAGCCTCCCCACCCCCAGGTAGGGGCTCCCAGGAAGAGACAGCGGGAGTCCGCGGCACCTTATGACCTGGAAGGGAGACAGTGGAGACAAACCGCTTCCTCCCTGGGGGCCCGTCTTGCCGACAGCATCTTAGGATCCGAGTGCTGTGGTTGGTGCTGGGAACAAGCTCAGTCAAGGGGCTGGTGTCTGTCCAAGGCCCGGCCTGACCCAACGACCTGCCAGGATGCGCCAAGCGCCTCTGGACGTGGGAGTCGCGCTGTGCTCCGGGGCCTGTGCCGAGGGGAAGCAGCTGTCAGGAGGGCCCATGTGCTTTCTCATCACCATCGTCATCGCCACCACATTAAGGACAGGCCTAGAACAAATCCTTGTCCCTCGGAAAACGGCTGTTTTTCTGGCATTTGACCTGAGAACAGACCTAACCAATAAAACCCACTAGAAAAAAATAGACGCATATGATCTGTGTAACAGCTGACCTAAGATGGAAATTGTTGAAATAAATAACATTTACTATTTGGAAATACTTATATTTATAAAATGTTTCAAAATACTTGATTTGATTTCATTGACTTCACAGCAGCCCTGTCTGACTATCCACATTTGCCAGGTGAGGAAACCGTCTCTAGGGAGCTTAGTAAGTCCCCTGCCCGCGACACCCGCCTCTGGGACAGTTGGGCCAAGCTCTCACCAGACGATTCTGCAATCTGCACCTTGGCATCCACCCAGAGGAGTGGAAACTATGTCCACACAAACCCTGCACGTGGACGGTCACAGAAGCGCCGTGCATCATCGCCAAAACTTGGAGGCAGCCGAGGTGCCCGTCAGCAGGTGACGGATAAACAAACTGTGGTCTCTCCAGACAACGGACTATTACGCAGCACTAAAAAGCAAAGAGACACCAGGCTGTGGAGAGACACGGATGCCTCGGATGCCGATTACTAAGTGGAAGACGCCCGTCTGAAGGGGCCACACGCTGGATGAGTCCTTTTGCTCTGGAGAAGCAAAACTAGAGACGGTGAAACCATCAGTGGTCAGCGCGGGACTCGGGGAGACCAGGGGAACGGGCGGAACGCGAAGATTTTTAGGGCAGTGAAGCTGCTCCGTAGGACACCGTGATGCCGGATGCGCGTCACCGCACGTTTGTCAAAACCCATCGAATGCACAAAATAAAGTTAACCCTAATGTAAACTCTGGACAGTAGTTAATGGTGTGTCGACATTAACTCATTAATTGCAGCGAGTGTGCCACCCTCACGCGCGATGCTCGCATCCGGGAAAGCTTTTCTAGGAGGTGAGGCTGCCTGAGTATGTGCGGACTTACCCTACTTTCTGCGCGACCCTTCTGTAAGTCTCACAATGCTCTAAAAAACAAATCTTATCTCTGAAAAATAAAAACTTATCTGCCACGGTGTGAATAAACCAGCTCCCTTGAAGCCTCCGAGTCACAGACACCAGAGCCCTGTGTGACTGCGAGGCACCGATCCCCAGTCTCGCCGGCTCTTTCGTCACGAGGGGCAGCGCGTGGGAAGAGACCGGAGGCTGGAAACCGGGTTGGGGACACTCGAGCGGGTCCCGATGCAGCTGGGACACCAAACCCTGACTTCACGAAGCCAGGAGACGCACGCAGCGACGCCAGCTGCACGCCCCCGTGCTACAGCGGAGGTATGTCCACGCCCTCGCCCTACCAGGGCCCCGGGGCCCTCGGCCACCTTTCCCACCCATGGGTGGTCACACGCTGAGGCCGCTGTGAGCAGGGAGAAGCAGTCCTCCACACGCATCGGTGGGGCGCTCGCCTGTCAGCGGCCGTCAGAGGCAGACAGGGATGGCGTCCGGAGCCTTCGGAGGCCCCCTCAGGTAAGTCTCGGCGCGGACCTTCGGGGCCGGGAGCAGAAGCATGACGTTCTCTGCGGATAACCACTCTCCTTTCAAGAAAGTGTTCGGCCCGCTGCCACGCCTCCGCAGAGCGGGCACACTTGATGGCGGGCCACCAGTTACCAGGAGGCCAGACCGATTACTAGGACACAGCTGTTCTGCAGCTCACACGGTCGCTCTGACCCACAGCACCGGCCGGTGACTGCCCCGCCTGCGCAGGCCCCCCTCAGCTTCTCCAGCTCCCTGATGAGAACACACATGGCTCCCCACCTCCTTGTCCTCGATCACCCGTCTGTACCCATCGCCCCTTCCCCACTGCCTGCCCCGCAGACTTCAGGCTCCGGGTGCACAGATGACGGCCTGGTAGCGACCCTCTTCCAGATCCCACTGCTGCGCACGGCCCGCACCTGCGCACGCGCCTCACCGCGGACGCGGTCTCCTAGTGGTTCCGTTCCGACCGCGCCCTGCTACAGGCCGTGACTTGGGAGAAAGGGTGCCGTGGTCCAGCGTCTTGGACCGAACGAATCGGCGAACGCCTTGCTGCAGAACTTCGGGCCCCCTCACAGGCCAGCCTGCACCGTGAGCATCAGGGGCGCACGGCAGGTGCTGCTCTTCCCACGTGCCGCAGCGCACACCTGTGCTTCACGGGCCCGCTCGTGGCCCTGCGGGAACACTGCCACCCCGAGTGGGTGTGGAGTCCAGGCCGTGGCTCCCCTCGTCCCTCGCTCCCAGGCCCGGCCCGAGGGTGGGTACTGACCTTGGCAGGCAGATTCACCCCCTGGGAGCCTGACTGCTCTCTCGCCCAGCACCACCCTGTGATGGGATGTCGGCCCTGTCCAGACTGCACGTGCGTGGGGACAGGGCTTTACTTTGGTGACAGACACAGGCCGTGATCTCGCGAGCCTGATGGTTTGGTTCCTTCTCGGTTTAAAAGATACATATGCTCGGTAAATCATGATTATACTTAATACTTTCTTAATTCTTATAATTTGTTAAATTATCTTAGCACCCATGAAGCAAATAGGTAACAGGGACCTCCTGGGACAAAGCTGCATGGCGACAAGCTGCATAACAGGAGCGGGCTGATTTTGACGCTGCCCAGGGCAGCTCTGAGCGTGGTCTCCGGCGAGGAGTCGCCCACCGGCCGCCATGCTGCACCATGACCTTGGCCTGAACCCCCGTCGGCAGCACTGCCATCGCCGCGGTGGCTCCCGCGCTCACTCCAGCACACAAGAACCACCTCACACCCCGAGGGAACTCCTGCGACATCCATGCCACATGCCCACGCCCAGCCCTCTCTCCGCCGTGACGCTGGCTGACTTAGTCTTCCTCTGATTCTGCATCACCCGAGAGGCCCAGGGGTCTCTGAGAAGCCAAGCACCTGCTGAGCATGTGGTGTGACACCAGCCAGAATCCTCGGGCTGCTGGCCCGGTGGGGACGCGGCTCGGGCCCAAGCCCACCTACCTGTGCGGGAAAGCTGCTGCAAGGTGGCTGTCAGCTGCTGCAGACCTGCCGGAGATACTTCATAGCGGTACACGTCCATCACCGGAAACTTCTGGCACCTTCCAAACACTCCATCTGTGAGAAAAGGAGGCAGAGAAGAAGGGAAAAGTGACTTTCCATTTCCAGAAAGGAGGAAGACACTGCTCGCGCCCTTGCAGCGAGTCCCACGCGTGCCCTGTGCTGAGGCTTCGGGACGTGGCTTTGGAAAGCCACCAGGAGCTGAGGGTTCAGGAGCGCTGGAGAGCAGCGGCTTCTCTAACCCCAGACTCCGAGTGCCGCGGAAAGCGCGCGCGCGCGAAGCAGGAGCGCGGGGCTGGGCGTCCAGTGCGGCCTGATCTTCCGGGCCGCGCCCTCGTCCCTTCCTCCCCCGCGCCTGCCACCCCTCACGCTTTGCAATTTCCTGGCCAAGGCGTTCGCATTTCATTTTTGATGCGAAGCTTGGCTTCTGCCAATCCAGCGGCAAAGGCATCAGTGACATTCGGGCAGGGTTTCTGGATGGAGGCAGAACACCCAGGAAGCACGAATACTAATTTGCAGAAGCCACAAGGACGGTGGGAACGTCTTCCACGCGGCGCCACGCGGGCAGCCCCGGGCACGCGGGCCAGCGGGCGCGGCCGCAGAGAGGTGCTCGCACAGCAGTGAGCTCTCGGTGGGGACCGATTTATCCAGCTCCACTCCCTTTGTCTGAAGTGACAGGCCCAGCTCATCAACACCCTTTCAAACCACACCTTCCAATTAATTTAGGCCCCAATTAGTCTTTATTCGGCAAATTGTTCACTTTGAGACAAGCTTCCTGTGGGGGGTTCAAACATTCAAATTACTGCCTTTCCTACACACAAAAGACTAATTCAGGGGCCTGCGCCTCACACACAGGCGGCCATCTGCAGACTCAGGCCAGGGTGGAGGGAAACCGCGTCTCGTATTGTCCGCAACAGCTCCGCTGCTCTGAGTGTCGCTGAAGAAAGCCATTCAAATGCAACAAGTTTAATTGGCAGACGCACGCTTGCCCGGTGCCAGGCTGACTCAGTCAGTGCCGCTCTGAAATCACACGTGCGCTCAAGACGGACGGCGCCGTGCGATTAGCACTGAGTCGTCTTCGGTGGCACGAGCATCGCGTGGCTTTCCATGGGACTTTGCGAAGCCAGAGAATTCGAGAGGGCAGACTGGGAGCGGCTGGGAGCAGGCCGACAGCGGCCGTGGAGAAATAGCATGCTCTGCCGGTCGCCTCTGCCACGCTGGGCTCTCCGCCCTGGCCCCGTGTCTGCGCGCCTCGCCCAAATTCACGCGGCTGCCACATACACCCAAAGTGATGCCGGCGACAGTTCCCTCAGAGGGAGGGTGTCGTCCTCACTGCTACCACCCAGTGAAATGAACAGTGCTCGGCGAATACAGACAATAGTGTCCCTGTCCTTCGATTTTCTTTCGGCCAAGACCTCCGTGCCTGAGCAAAAGGGAGAGAACAATGAAGAACCATTTAGAGGCACCTGCAACATTCCCTTCACCTTTCAAATGGAAATATCTGGAAAGTAGCAACCTCAGCCTGCAGGGACCAGAAGGAGCATCTGCACGGTCCGACCCCAAACATCACGGAAGGGGAGGCCGAGGCCAGGGTGGGGACAGGGAGAGAGACCAGGTGCCCCGACCCCCGCGGGAGCCCTCCTCAGCGACCCCTCAGCCGCTTGGTCACTGCGTGCGTCCGAGCACCTCCCTCCGGAAACTCACCGAATCACACCGTTTCGTGGAGAAAACCGGCCAAGGACATTTCCCATCTATTTGGAACGTTCTAGGTATATTATTTCCTTCCCGAAGAATAATGGCATCATTCTTTAAATTCGGTTTGTGGTATACAAGGTCGTAAACATATTCTCAGAAAAACGTTGATTTGTACATGTCGTTTGTATTGTTTGCATGCATGTGTGTGTACATGTGCGTCTAGATATGTATGTGTCTATGCGCGTATATGTCTTGTGTGAGTGTGCATGCGTGTACACGTATGGGCCGCATGGGCAACCTACATACACGTGTCATGTGTGCATATGCATGTGTTTGCGTGTGCACATATGTGTGCCGCCGCACGTTTGCTGCGTGTCGATGCACATGTGTGTGCACATGTGTGCGCGTGTGCACATCTTTAAATTCGGTTTGTGGTATACAAGGTCGTAAATATATTCTCAGAAAAATGTTGATTTGTACGTGTCGTTTGTATTGTTTGCATGCATGTGTGTGTGTACATGCGTGTCTAGATATGTATGTGTCTATGCGCGTATATGTCCTATGTGAGTGTGCATGTGCGCACACGTATGGGCCGCATGGGCACCTACATACACGTGTCATGCGTGTATATGCATGTGTTTGCGTGTGCATGTATGTGTGCCGCCGCACGTTTGCTGCGTGTCGATACACATGTGTGTGTGCGTGCGTTTGTGTGTTGTGTGTCTGTGTGTTGTGTGCGTGTGTACATGTGTACATGTAAACACACACGTGGCCTCTAACATGTGTGTAACTGCCAGGCTCATGCAGGGCCCGAGGACGCTGCTCTCTGAACGCGATACGTTCCTCCAGGAAACAGATGTCGCTGGCAACTGCGCCACACACCTGGCGCCTCGTCCGCCCTCACCTTCCCTACCTTCCCTCTGTCTCCTCTGGAGGACTGTGTGTGCTCTGTGGGCAGCACCTCTCACCATCACCTGTCCCCGTGTCTGCCTGGCATCCTAACCTCAGGAAATGCCCAGTCTGTCCTGATGTCCCACAGGACGGACAGGTGGAAGACACTGCAGACTCTACCCTCAAGGAGCTGGTGCGCTCGTGGCACCGACAGGCAGCTAAGTATCCGGCACGTGGCTCGGTCCTTCCTAACTGTGGTGTGGGCAGCAGAAGGAAGGCTCCATGGACAGCACGAAGCGGCACCGACCTCATCCAGCAGGCAGCGGAGTCACCTGCATGGGGCTGGTGAGGACAGCCAGGCCGGGGGGCAGGCTCTGCAGAGGGAAGGAAGCACCTCGTCACTGAGGCACAGGGACTGAGGGGACAGAGCTTCAAAACTGGAGCAGGCCAGGCTGGCCACGTACAGCCTGAGGCCGAGAGGAGCCGGCCTCCTCCACGGGCCACGGGGCTGCTGGGGCCTGGCGGGCAGCGCTGGCGATTGGCCAGGAGCCACAGGCGTGAAGGGAGAGCCCGTTCTGAGGAGGGTAGCTCGGTGAGAGTGGCGGCCTGGAGCGGGAGGGCTCGGCAGATCCACAGCCTCTTCAGAGGCGAACCGGCCGCAGGGTTCCCCCGAGTCGTGGCGCAGGCTCCGCGGTCACCGGGCTGTTCCGACAGGCGGCCCACACAGTTGCCGCGCAGCAACAAAGCCGTACGCGGCCGGCTGCAGGGTAGGGAAGCGGCGCTGTCCTTGTGATGGCCGTGGGCCCCAGGGGAGCTGGACTGCACCCCTCCGAAGGGAGGACATCCCCAGCCCCTTGGGCAGCGCTCACAGCGCACCACACGCATGGCGCGGAGCCGAACGCCCGAGCGCGGGGAACCCGGCGGGCTCTGGGGCTTCCCTCGACTCCCGCTTCCCAGACGGCATTCCGCCCTTCTCTTCCGCAGAGCGGACGCTGGGTCCCCACCGACTCTGGGACCAGAGTGGAAGGCCCTAAAGAGGAAGACCGCCGGGGTCCCGAGAAGGCAGGTGGCGACCTCCCCGCTGCCTGTACCCTGACCAGGGGCTCCCAGAGCGGGCGCCAGTTTCTTCCACTGAAAAGGGAAAACATCGATGGGGTTTATCGCCAGATTTTTCTAAGAATATCTTGTTTATCTTGATAAATAGCTTGAAAAAATAGCTTGTTTATCGCGTCTATTCATTCGTTCCCACGGGCAAAAGTCATTTTCCCTCATAAACATCACCGTCCCCAAACACGGATCCAGGCCTGTCACGGGACCAACACTTCACACCCCGATCACTGCTCCCCTGGTCTGTGGAACTGCACGTGTCCCCCGGCCCCACACCACATGTGTGTGCACACACTCACACGCACACACGCACACGCTCTCGCATGGTCCCTGCGCTCACACTCACACGCACACACGCACACGCTCTCGCATGGTCCCTGCGCTCACACTCACACGCACACACGCACACGCTCTCGCATGGTCCCTGCGTGCACACTCACGCACGCTCACGGGGCCGCTCCTCCCCCCGTGGCACCGGCACACGTCTCTCGCCCCGGGGTGGCATGTGCTCCCTCCCAGAAGGCGGCATCACAGCCCGCACCTGTCAGACTCCACAGGACCTGACGCCACACTCTGTGGCCACCACGGACTGAGTAAGTCTGTGCCTGATTAACTGGTGTTTTTCCATCTGCCCGAAAGAAAACTGAGACACCCACGGAAATTTATAATACCAATAGCTAGAACCCTAACTTGCTGGAATCTCACATAAATTTGGGAGCCTCCAGACGACCCGCTGGATAAAGGACCAGGAACCGACCGCTGAGACCAGACGGGGGCCCGTGGGGGGACTGCAAACGAGGGCGCACGTCTCCACGTCCGTTCAGCCGGCGCTGTGCCTCCTCGCCTTCCCTCGCGGAGGCTCGGAGCCCTGGTGGTCCCTGAGAGCACCGATTCCCTCCCAGTGGACCTCCCTTCTGGCGAAGGGACCTCATGCTCAGAGACTCTGGAGATGCCACGGCTTTCCAGGACGACCGCCTCTCAGAGAACCACCCAGAACCGGCGGGTCAGACCTCCAGGCGGCCGGGGCCTGACCAGGGGCACCGCTCTTGCTGAGCTCCCTCGGTGCTGTCTCAGGCCACATGACAGGACATTGAGGGAAAGGCCCATGGGACCCAATTATGCACCTGCTGGGAACCTCCACTCGGCATCACCGCCCCTCGATGACGCGCCCGAGGCACACTCTGGCCCTGGGCCGGGAAGCACCGCAGTCCACTCCCAGGCTGCCCCGCAGCTCAGGGCAGGTCATGCGCACTTCTGAGTAGTGCAGCCTCCAGTGACTTCGCTTTATGTTGCTGAAGTGAACATTTTCTTTGTGCTCATGATACTTTATCCTCTTTTCTTCTTTTCTAGTGACTGTACCAGTTTTCATTTTCTATACGTCCTTTTTTACATTTCTTTTCTGTCTTGTTGGGAAGAGATAATGGGACTGGGGAATTAACCAACATGATGAGATCACCTCACTTTGATTTTCCAAGCAGGGCGACTAGCATAGGGCATCTTTAGGAATTATTGCTGTTCTCATACCTGGTCTCTAACCTGTGTAAATAGTTTATTCGCAAAAATAATGTGCATGTGCAACCATATTATTTTGGTTCCTTGGAAATCTCAAGAACAATGTTCCTGATTTTGGAGGGTGAAGAGAGATGCAGAAAAGGTGCCACCATTATAAAGTCTTCCCAGGTGACGGTGTGCCGGAGGCAGTGTCGGGGGAATTACAGGGCAGGGGAGAGACTGGAAATAAACCATCTGTGTGCACAGAATTCCTTGCGAGGGTGAGAACAGGCTACGTTCACTAGGCCTGGGCAGGGACCAGCCTTGCCTCTTTCCATAATCACAGAAACCATGGCCTGCGGCATGCATTCAGGTCCTCAGAATACTGGGTACGGTAAACACCACACGCCTTGCGAAGGGGCCAGCTGAGCAGGTGGGACAAAAGGAACAACGTTGGTCTGCCTACAGCAGCTCCCTGAGCGTGCACGGAAAACGCAGACAGTAATCACAAGATCGACCGGCCCCAGGCCCTCCTGGGCGTCTGGGAATTTAACCATCCTCAGAAACAGCGCCAGGCCCCGAGCGTGCTTGCAGGGCGGGCCCGGGCCCCACTCCTGGCCCATGGGCTTAGGTACCCATCAGCCCATCTCACACTGTACACACTGGTCCCTCCTTCACCCTCCTCCGCATCAGAGTTGACCTGAGGTGGCAGCAAGGACAAAGCAGCAACAGTGACCCCTCGTGGCCACCTCCCTGCAGTGCCAGACCCTTGTCAGGACCCAGCACAAGTGAGCCTGGCCCAGCTCAGGACAAGATGCCTTGGTGGCTGAACTCATCATGAACCCACCAAGTGTCTCCAGAGCCAGCTCCAGGGAGGGGATGGAGATGCTGCTTCCCAGGGAGGTGGGGCAATGACACATGCACACGCACACGCACACGCACACACGCACATGTGCACACGCACACGTGCACACGCACACATGTATACAATGCACAACTACACACGGTCACATGCTTATATGTCACATGCACACGCACACGCACACGCACACACGCACACGTGCACACGCACACATGTACACAATGCACAGCTACACGCCGTCACATGCTTATTTGCGCGCACACACTCACAAGCTTGCATACTCATAAGTGTGTACACACATGTGTGACACCCTCTCACACATACTCACATGGACACACTCATTCTCTCGCAGTTACACGCTAAGGAGAGCAGCTCGTGCCCTCCTAGATTGTCCCCACGGTGCGGTACGTCCCTCGGGCTTTGCGAGCGTCTCCCACACGGGTGTCACTCACACCTCTGACAGCCCCCGTCCCAGGGCTGAGTGGACGGGACCCACGGCATGGCCCTCTGTCCCTGGGAGATACAAAGGGCTGTGGGGACAGACTCGGTGATTCTCAGAGCGCAGGTTCAGCTTGACGGGGCTGAGGACCCCTGTCCCTAATTCCCTCCCTGGATTAGAGGTGCCCCAATACCCTGCAGGACGGCTGTCACTGAAGAGGGAGGGGCTCGTGCACAGGCCATGCCGAGGGGCCTGACACAAAGGCCTGTCAGCGCCGAGTCTGCGACCGGGAACCAGCCCCTCTGGAAGGCAGGCGTGTGCCCAGGGCTTCCTGACACAGGAGCTGCCTTTCCCCTGGGGAGCGAAGCCAGGGTTCCATAACCCCATCTGCAGAGTCCACGGCAGAGCGAGGGATCCCACCCCATCTGCAGGGTTCACACCAGGCTGAGGAAACC